CATTTCAAATTTGTTTCACCATCCAATTCGGCTGTTTCGATGAAACACAGACCATTCGGTTCGGATGTGGTCAGCAAGAGGATGTCGGCAGCCACAAATTGATTGTTCTCCAAACGTATCACATCGCCAACCTGTCAGTTAGAAAATTGTAAGAAATATATAAAAATCCATTTTGAGACATCATAGAATTTGTTGTCCGTATGTATGTATGTACATACAGTTGCGTGCAGCTAATTAAAAACTACGCTGAGACAAAAACACAAACAGGTCGATGTTTGAATATGTATGTATTCGAAGAATTGTAGGTAAAAAATTACTTTCTGGCCGTTTCGTATATTATCTACAAATTCATATAATCCACAGGGGTGCGTCGTTGTTAATTAGCTGCACGCAACCCTACATACGTACATATGTATGAATGCGCGTTCGTAGGCACGTACATAGATGTGTACATATGTGTATGCACACTAGGGTGGTCCTTAAATGTAGGAAGCAGATTTTTACATTAGATTTTCTAATTCTCAATCCCTACGTCGATGCTACTATAGTCGAAGAAATCACATATACATTTTAGTCCCGAATGGAGACGGTTAAGTCGAGTCGCACAGCGGGAAAAGTTCGAATTCCTCTATGGAGACTGAAAAAATTAAAATTAATTTATTTTTCATCTTATACCCACAGTCGATTGAAGTCGGTTAAGGCGTGTCGCACAGGGGCAAAGTTCAGATTACCTTATGAAGACGTATTAACCGACTCCAATTTATATGTAATATCCTCGACTGTAGTAAAAGTATCGATTTTAGGTATTAAAACAAAAAAAGATATATATATTTTTTTTGAATTTTTTGAGTCCATAGAGGATCTGGCCGTTGACCCCTTTTCGACACGCCTTAATCGACTCCAATCGGGACCAAAATTTATATGTGATTGCTTTGATTAAGGTAGTATCGATTTTGGGTATTAGATGAAAAAAAAATTAATTTTATTTTTTTGAGTCTCTATAGAGGCATCTGTACTTTGCACCCTGTGCAACATGCCTTAACCGTCTCCAATTGGTACCAAAATTTATATGTGATATCTGTGACCGTGGCATTAGCGATAGAGGGGGGAGACTGAAAAAAATCCTCCCTTTTGTTTTAAGGACCATCCTAATGTGCACATATATGTGGCATTCCTTTCAACGGAAGGCTGCCTTTCCATTTTAGTTTTTATTCAAATAGGTACAGTGAGTATTAGTGAAAATCGTACAATAAATTTTTCCCATTTTGTTAATATTTTGCTTTATTGCAATTTTATTAATTTTGAATAAAAATATAGTTCACACTACAATAAAATCCACATAACTTAAAGTTTCTAACTTTACCACAATTAAAAAAAAAATCGTAAAATTTTCATCAAAATTTCACACTTTTTATTGAGAGTTATAGAATTTTTTGGGTATGCAGTTTTATTGCCCACTAAATTTTAGTATAATAAGGTGCAAGTTTGAAGTGGCTACCGTTCATTGTTGGCAATTTTTTGTTTTGTTGACGGTGTTGCGTATTTTCTTTCATATCAAGAATAATCTCATGCTATGTGAAATAACTTATTTCATATGTATTTACGGTATTTCATATGTATGTTACGGTATTTTGTAGCCACTATACACTTGCACTTTATTATGTTAAAATTGAATGGGATATTTAAACTGCATACCCAAAAAATTTCTAAAAATTCCGAACAAAAAGTGTGGGATTTTATGAAAATTTTACGATTTTTTTTTTGTTTCAAAGTTAGAAACTTTGGGTTATACGCGATTTTATTGTAGTGTGAACTATCTTTTTATTAAAAATTATTAAAATTTAAATAAAGCAAGGTAAGGTTAGGAGGCGTGTGTGGAATATTCCATGCTTTCACTCGGAGACAGAACTGTCCATTGTGAGTGCCCTCTTTTAGTGAGTGTAAGACGGAGACATGCACCTAAATCGAAAGAGCAGCTTCAAGTCATTATTTTATTGCACCAATTACTATCCCTGATGAAGCCGAGGAGATGCAACAGTTCCACCTCTGCTACTTCGCCCAGACTATTGCAGAAGCGTGAACCCAAGTGCTTGAGTCGCTTCATCTGTAGACCTGGACACCGACACAGATAGTGGCCAATTGACTCTTCCTCATCCTCATCATGGCAGCCTCTGTAGAGAGTACTTGTTGGTATTCGCCACCGTTGAAGCATTGGTGCTATAGCACAGTGTCCTGCGATGATGCCGGTAAGGACTCTTACTGCAGATCGATTGAGTTTCAGTATATCCCTTGTCTTTTTCCTACTCAGCCGCGGCCATAATAATGTTGTGTTCTCACAGTCTTCCCGTTTGTTCCACAAGTCATTCGTCACGGCCACGGTGTACTCATTAATTTTCCTAACGTGATCACAAAACGGTGGTAGTACGGCGCTATCCGCTTCTTCTGTTGGCATTTCGGAGTCACATTTAGCCATCTCATAAGCCGACTCATTCCCATAAATATTGCTATGTCCGGGAACCCAGCTTATAGTGACGTTGATACGATTTCACTATTCTAGATCCTATTGCCTTCAGTGCTGCCTGGCCGTCGACAAAAATAGTGGATTTAAGTGGCAAAATATATTCAAAAAATGGAGAAAAATTTACTGTACGATTTTCACTGACACTCACTGTATGTATGTATGTATATGATGAATCAAATGAAACCTTTCAAAACTAGATCAACTGAGCTTTCATTTGTGCGCCATCATATACTTTATTTGAATTAAAATTGAAATGGGAAGAGGAGTCTCCCGCTGCCAGAGAATGTCACATATACATACATATGTACATATGTTGTTAATATAAGGGTACATACATGCATAAAAAGATACTTGTATCCATACCTGTACTCCTGACCATTTTGCATCGATTAACTGACCGTTACGTAATGTTTTTGATCGTCTATTATTCACCTGAGAATCCGACAGATGGCGTTGCTGTAAAGTGTACATCGAAAAAGCTTGTAATGTAAATTTTTTTAAGAGTTAAAATAGACACGCTATTGATACATATACATACAAACACAGACATTTTTTAAATCCTACTAAATATGTATTCCGATATAGCGACTTCCGGACAATGTCACAAAAGGACTTGCCGTTAGTGACCATTTCAATGTATGCATAGCCGAAGTTGCTTCTGTTTTGTGAGGCAAAATTAAACTAAAATTTTGCTGATATTTTTTTTTTTATTACCAAACCGAAAACCGCTCCAATGATTTTGTTTTAGTTTTCTATATTAAAAAAATCATGTTTCAATTTCCTCTCGTTTGGTATATGGGAAGTATTGGTTGAAATATTATAAATATGTTTATTTGATTCAAATAAATGGGCATAAATGAGTTTTCATACAAAATCACTTCGTCATCATTTTGCAAACACGTGCTTGCACTGGAATGGTGATAAGGAGACAAAAAGTATGCGTGTGTATTTCGGCTTTTGAGTAAGAGATGGCGTAGCTCCGAGGAAATATTTATAACGTAATTGATTGGTACGAATGTGTACTACTATATGGATATCAATCAAAATGGCTTTGAAGAAAATTTGTTCCCAAACTATCTGTAGGAGCGTTACCACCTGATTGAAAAATTAAATTCAACTTGAATTAAGAGAACTAGATAATTTAAATATGTGTCAGGCGAAAAAAGTTTAAAAAGCTTTCAATTTGAAAATATTTTGAACAGGGTTACAACCTGTTTACAAAGTTACACTCAATGCATGCAAAGGTTAAATGAATTACTAAAATATGGATGTCCATCAAAATGGCATTGAAATACCTTTATTTCTAATCTACATGTAGGAGCGTTGCCACCTGCTTAAAAAAGCCAAGAGAAACCTTAATTAAGGCAATTAGAAAATTGAAATATGTATCCCGATATGGGTGCCAGATGAAAGAGGTTGTAATTTGAAAATATTCTGTTTACAAAGTTTTTTTTTTAATTTATTCAATACGCTTAAAAAATTATTTCATAAATAGATATCAATCAAAATTGTGTTGAAGAGATTTTATTTTTTTCGAGTTTTTAATTTTTTGAATAAAAAGTTGTTGCCTAAATACTTAAATTTTAGCGGCTAGTTTTAGTTTACTACATGACAAATTCGAAAGCGAACATATGTATGTGAATGTATGTACACATATTTACAATTATTTTCATCGAATATAAATATCTAATAAGCTCAGCAATTTTATACCGTTTTAATTCTTAATAAATACCTAACTAATCAATCATACTCATGCTTAAGTTTTTACGTACATACATACATATTTACATATGTACACAAAAAGCTTATTAATTTATTTAGATACTTACAATGTCATCATACGCATCCTTAACCGCTGTCAAAGTTAACACGCCAATTAACGGTATGGCTGTGGTAACGGGCGTCAATGATGATATCGCGGGTATGAGTTGCAGCACCAACAAGCACAGGAAATAGAAATTGGCAAGACGTTGAAATTGTTCGAGCAAATTAAATGGCAAAAAAGTCAGCAGTGTGTATTTGGATGTTTTAATGAAATTATCCTAGAGGAAGTAGATAATGGAAGAAAAAAAAACATTAAAAACATAGAAAATATATGTATGTACATATAATAGACAAGCAAATATTAAAATCATGTGTATGTGTGTCAAATGACAGAAGTTTCAAGGCTGCTAGCACACTAATTACCCTGTCTGTTGAATTCGGTTTGGTAAGGAAAAAGTGCAGGAAATATTATTTCAGGCAAAAAATTGAGGATGACGTAATCTGAAAATGTCTATCATTCGGCAGAGATGTTAATATTATAAATATACTATAGTATATAGTCGCTAGTTCAGTTCTATTCCTTGAACACTTACATATATAATCGTTTTTGAAGTTGTTGGTTTTGACTATATCGTCATCTAGAATGAAACTAATAAGAAACTAAAATTTCACTTTTTCATTTATGCGATGGATTTCATCGAATTAAAACAATCCACATCGTTTTATGAAAAGAAAATTATTAGTCACTTTTTCCATTTCAGTCACGATGTTTGTTTCGTCTTTTTGCATTTCAGGCAACGATATGTACCTACTTCCAAAAGTAGTGAATAATTTTTACATGCCACTTTCGATAGTAAATGGCAGTACTTAGCTTTTAAGCATACATATTTCTTTTGCGGTTTAAAGCTTAAATCTGGGGCTGGACTCATGAAACATCTACATATTTAGCTGCATAAATATGTACATATATAAGTTGACGCGCTCGTGCGTGTGTATGTTGCAATCAAATATCCCCCTCCCGAGGGATTTAATCATTAACTCAGCTTAAATTCTGCATTAAAACTTCAGTCGTGATAACGAAAAAATTTGGTAATTTAGCCAGTAAAATTCCTCAACACTAACACCAAAGCCATTGACCTAGAAAAGTGCCAATAATAAACAAACGCACGCACAAAACTTATTATATATACTTATTTTTATACACGTACATGTAGTGAAAAGTCACAATAGTCAGTAAACATTCTGGTAGATTAACTGGTAGAAAATGACTCGTTTATTAACTGGCATGAGCTGATGCGGAGGCACATCAGTTCGACACAATTTGGAACAATTTGAGATTATGCGTTTAGTGGCATACGTAACGAGTCCTAACAGCAAAAAAAAAACGTAAGCGACATTTTTTCAAAATTTTATTTTTGCTGCATAAGTACTCCTAGAGCATCTAGATGCATTTCTGCATCAAAAGGAAAATTTTGAATTTTGTATGTATGTATTTGTATGTATGTCTTCGATTTGAGAAAGCCAAAACTAAAACGTAATTAATTGGGATCTCGCTCTGGTTCGAGGACGTGCATTGTATGTATTTTGAAGATTTTCCAAAGTTAATATTTCAATTGAGCAAATACAATTAATTGATCATTTCAAAAAATTATGAAAGTAAANACGCAAAGATCTTGGTGTAAAACCGTATAAAATACAGCTCGTGCAAGAACTGAAGCCGAACGATCTGCCACAACGTCGAATTTTCAGTGAATGGGCCCTAGAAAAGTTGGCAGAAAATCCGCTTTTTTATCGACAAATTTTGTTCAGCGATGAGGCTCATTTCTGGTTGAATGGCTTCGTAAATAAGCAAAATTGCCGCATTTGGAGTGAAGAGCAACCAGAAGCCGTTCAAGAACTGCCCATGCATCCCGAAAAATGCACTGTTTGGTGTGGTTTGTACGCTGGTGGAATCATTGGACCGTATTTTTTCAAAGATGCTGTTGGACGCAACGTTACGGTGAATGGCGATCGCTATCGTTCGATGCTAACAAACTTTTTGTTGCCAAAAATGGAAGAACTGAACTTGGTTGACATGTGGTTTCAACAAGATGGCGCTACATGCCACACAGCTCGCGATTCTATGGCCATTTTGAGGGAAAACTTCGGAGAACAATTCATCTCAAGAAATGGACCGGTAAGTTGGCCACCAAGATCATGCGATTTGACGCCTTTAGACTATTTTTTGTGGGGCTACGTCAAGTCTAAAGTCTACAGAAATAAGCCAGCAACTATTCCAGCTTTGGAAGACAACATTTCCGAAGAAATTCGGGCTATTCCGGCCGAAATGCTCGAAAAAGTTGCCCAAAATTGGACTTTCCGAATGGACCACCTAAGACGCAGCCGCGGTCAACATTTAAATGAAATTATCTTCAAAAAGTAAATGTCATGGACCAATCTAACGTTTCAAATAAAGAACCGATGAGATTTTGCAAATTTTATGCGTTTTTTTTAAAAAAAAAGTTATCAAGCTCTTAAAAAATCACCCGTTATAAGGAGCTGAAAAGCAAACATCGTGTATTTTAGATAAAAAGTAGCAACTTTCCCTGCAGGATAGTTTAAGTGTATGTAAATACGTAAATATGTATGCATGATTTACCGAAACTTGCATGAAGTGAATTTATGCTTCATCAAAAGTGTACTGGTAGTTCATTTGCAAAATATATACACACATATGTATGCATGTACATATGTATGTACTGCCAAACGTGGAAACATCGCATAGCCAAAACAGTGTGAATGCTCGTTTAATTCAATATTTACGTGACACAGAGGCATACTCTCACAATATTTATAACCTGGACATATGCATGTATACATACATACATGTACAGTTTTTTCTTATATACAGATCTGATGAATAAAAATTTAATATTTATTTGTAAGTACTCGTACATTTACATATGGGACGTTCCATGTCGACCGGAACAATAAAAAAATAAAGGCTAAAAATGTTTGTATAATTTTGCTCTTTTAAAAGCAGTGTGGCGATTTTGGAAATTAAATATGGAGGCGTTAGTAGAAGTTATGCAATTCATCAAACTCACAAACCGACAAATAATATCTTTAATAAACTTTACAAAACCAAAAAAATTAAATGAAAGCATTTTTAGGGTCGCTGAATACAAACCTGGTGTCGGATTTAAAAAATTCAAAATGGCGAATCCAAGATGGAGGACGAGTTTTTTCAGTTCAACTCAATTCAGTGCTCAAAACTTGATACTCTGGGGGTTTGCGGGATTGAGGAATTCAAGTCTGCTGTGAAATTTTAAAATTTCAAAATGGTTTATCCAAGATGGAGGACGATTTCTTTTTAATTTAAAATTTTTGCTCGAAACTTGAAATTCGGGGCTTTTCGGGGTTGTTGAACTCAAATCTGGTGACAAATTTACAAATTCTTAATCGCGGATTCATATTGGATCTATCATTTAAGACGGAATACAATATTAAAAGCCAACGTGCGTACATGGCGTATAAGTTACTCAGATGAGATGAGAATGTTACTTATACGCCATGTACGCACGTTCGATTATAACTTTTCAGTTACAAATGGTAAATACAATATGGATCCGCGATTAAGAATTTTGAAAATCTGACACCAGATTTGTATTCAGCGACCCTATCCTTGCTTAAAAAAGTATCCTTTCATTACATTTTTTAGGTTTTATAAAGTTTGTTATTGATATTATTTGCCGGTTCGTGAGTTTGATGAATTGCATCACTTCTACTGACGCCACCATATTGAATTTCCAAAATCGCTACAATGCTTTTAAAAGAGCAAAAGTGTACAAACGTTTTCAGCCCTTTAACGGTTTTTTTGTATTGCGCAAATTTTTGGATATAGCTCTGTTCCGGTTGACATGGAACGTCCCATATATAAAGGACATTTAAAGATACGTGAAGACTTGAATATGTACATACATCATCGCCTTGGATTTTCCAGTAAAAATTAAATTAAGTAAGTTGAGGCTTGAAGTTTGTAGGAGTGTTTAATTGTTTGAATACTCAGAGCATAAATCATTGCTTCGTTTAGGCAGATACCAATGAAGAGCTGATCTGAACAGCATGTTAATAAGAATAGCATAGACTCCCATAACGTCGCAGTATTTGCAACAGTGCGACTATGAAAACGATCTTTAGTAACGCAAAGGCAGCAGTTCAGTTTGTTTTCATTTCAAGTGGTCTATTACTTGTCATGTTGTTGGGAAACACAGGAGGGCTGGAGGTGTAAGGAGGAGGTTAGATACATTCTCGAAGATTCATCGTGAGTGTGGAATAAATGCGACCCGAGGTGTTTGAAGCAGGTCTTGAGATAATTCCAACTCATCGTCCTCCATGCAGCTGTTGCAGTAAGGGTCATCGATGACCCTATTCAGCCTTAGTGCTATGACCAGTTAGAATTACGTCCAATAGCGAGAGGTGTAATTTGCTTAGTTTCAAGAGCCCCCTGGAGTATATTTTAAGCCATGTTTTGTTTCGTGAAAACACTCGACGTCAGAAAGGGTGGTTTCCCTTCCTCACAAACTTGTTGGCTGTACAGTAACATTGTATATGTATCTCTATGGCCTGGCACCCACACAATGTGGGTAGTAGACTTTGAAGTTAACTCGTTGACGGCTTTTTTAGATTTTAAAGCAATTTCTTACGAGCTCTCACAGCAATTCAGAGGTGAGAACAAATGCTTAAAGCGCGTGCGAATTTTGATAACAAAAAATCGTATTTTCATCATAGTTTGTGATCAGGTTATATTTTTTATTCAGTTTAAAACAACAAAGTACACTACAGAATAATAACTTTTAACCAAATGACCTGATAACCAGGCAAGTGTGAACAACCAAAATATAATTAGCAGTCATAGGCTTTATACAATGGCAATTTTAAATATTTTCTGTATTTTTACTGAGAAAGACGCACGCAAGCCGCAAAACCCGAAACATTTTTTCAGTCTCATTTGTGTTAATAAATATGCTCTGCTTTTCTCTCTCCTATTTTTTTTTTGTTATTTTTTGTGAATTTATATTTTGTGCATTTTCGCCGCAGCTATTTTCATTTATTCGTCTACACGTGCGTATTTGTCTGCGTGTTATTGTTTACTGTGTCTATTTTTCAATGTCAATACGCCAATTAGTCCAACAAATCGCTAGCCGTCAGCGCTATTGGTCGCAAAGATCAATGACAAGCTAGTTAGTATAAGCGGCATATGACCACTCTCCAAGGTATGCAGGCAAAAAAATACATAGTAATGTACATACATAGGTATGTATGTAAGCACCGAAAGGTCAGCATGAATGATTAAAAGAGCGGATAAATGGAAATGCAGCAAATGTAATGCGAAATTGCAAAAAAAAAAAAACAAAATAGTAAAAGATAAGTGTTCGATATTTTCCAGCCGAGTTTTGCAGGGCAATAACGTTTCCATTAAAATGGGACCACTTAAGTCCATCTAAGCCACTGTTATTCAGCTCAACGCGCAAAATAAAGTGTCGCATAAACTATTTTCCTTTGCCAATGTAAACTGCACGTTTTTGCTATTCTCCGAACATTGAGCCTTCTTTCATATATTTTCGATTTGCTCTTATGCCGCTTTACTTATCAATCCACCAATGACCGTATTTGAATATACGTATGTACCTACATTCATAGCATACGATTTGCATATTTATACCCATAGAATCGTTATCTGTTTGCTTAGAAGCAGCCACTGTTTGAATGGTAACACACAATGCACTTTGTTTTTTTTTTTTGCCTAATGCGTCTGCCGCAGGGCTCGTCTAGCAAACAGCATTGTTGATTCTTTTTTTTTTTTTAATGGTAAATATTGTAGGTGGCGATGAAAAGGTGTGGAAATATTATAGTCTCTGAATAATATTGTATGAAAACATCTATATAATATATATGTATGTATGTATGTACTTACGGCGTATTTAAATTGTGCATTAAATTCTCGGTCGTTGGCTCGAATTCTGCGTTCATTCTCTGGAATAGATTACAAAAAAATATTATTAGAGGTTTTCCAGCCAATTAAGCAATATTTTTGTTTATCTTTTATTTAATATACCGCATGTTCGTAAAATATAACTAATGATAGCTCTGATTTTGGCTGTCAAAAGTATTTGAGAGCCCATTTCGAAATAAACATTTTATGTAGAGTTTCATTGAATTCCCATATACACAGTAAAAAATATTCAACTATTTATGGTTTATTTTTTTAAATATAGTGAAAATTTACGATATTAGGAAAAATAGCAATTAATTTTCTCGGGCAGCGTTAATGGTAAATTTTATGATTAATCCACAAATTAAGGTGAATTTTAAAAGAAACACATGCAATTCTTTAGAAGATTTTTTATATTAATGTGGATAAATGTCATAATTCAGTCTTGCTTAGTTTTTGCTGATCAACCTTGATAGCATAATTGGTCTGTACTTAAGAAATTTATTGAGATCAACTATTAAAAGCTCCACATGCGCACATTAACAGGTCTATTCTGCGCTGGTAGTAAAAATTTGGTAACCGATAAATAAAGTTCCTGACAATTAAAAAAACAAAAAAATTAAATAAGTCGCTTAAAATTGAATTTAAAACAGTCTATTGTTGTATATTAATTATTTAAAAAATAATAATAATAATTAAAAAAGGAAAAATTTAAATGAGTTCATAAAAATTAAATGGAATAATTATAAATATTTTTCTTTTTTAAAATTTGACCTTTAAAACAACAAAATCGAAAAATTAAAAAATTATTACATTAAAAAAAAAAATGAAATTAAAAAAATTCCATCGCTCCAGAACTCGACCTCTGATCTGACGAATCGTATGCCAGCGCTTTGTTCACTAGGCCATTGTGGCTGTTGAAGCATCGCGAGCGAAATGATATACAAGTGCATTCTGTCAAAAGAGCTTTTCAACATGAAAGTTGGCATGTAAGCTTTTTTGTAAGACCTTCGTGCCAGAATAAACAAAACCTTTCAAAAAATCTTGCCGACTTTCTTCCAATTGTCTTGCAAAAGACTTTCAACTATCTTAGCCAGAATTGCCACGTTAAAATTTATTAATATTCTAAAAATTCAGATTAAAAAGATCGAATTTTTGTTGAATTTTTCTAAATTTTGAATAAAGTTTGAAACTTCGATTTACATATATGGGTTGGTTAAAGCATGAAACAAACACAAAAAATGTAAACGTGAAAAACATTGTGAATACCTTAAAGAAATGAAAATGTGACACTTGTTTGAGTCGCTGGATGGCAGATGATCACGTATATAGACTAAACCAGTTTCAAACCTCTGGTTTACTACTCACATCCCCTGAATCTAAAAACGGCATCTTTAAGACCATTTTTTTGTTGGATGTATTAATTATTAACAAAAAGTCATGGCAAACACAAAAAAATACCGCCATATCAAAATAAATAAATGAGAGCTTTAGTTTGTACTGGGGTCTACGCACCCCGTATGGATTCTAGGGTTAAGTTATATTGCTGATAGCTGTCTATCAACTACTTTATGCTTTCGGATCCCTGAAGTGCGTTCCATACTGAAGTCGATGTCGCTTAACTGTGTGGAATAGTTAGGAGAGGTAAGCATCTATTTTTATAGCCAAGCGACAATCAAGACATGGTGGATGAGCTGGCCGGAAGGGTATCCTCGAAAAGAGTGAGTGCAAGTACTACTTTTTTTCTAATAACTTAGTAATTACCGTTTAAACATGGTGGGTGGTATCAAAAAGAGAAAAAGTTTCAAGTCTGAAGCAACCACCGCGATATAACCTTAAATATTGCCTACTTTTTATTCAAGTGATTTTTATAAGCATTACTACTTAACATTTAAATGAATTACCAGAAAAGTAATATGAGCTGCGTCGGCGTCGCATCTGTGACAATCGACGTATTCCTTTGTCCTTGGTGCTAGCAAATATGCCATTTCCACCGCCAGCGCCGTTTACTGTATTCGTCGTTGCTGACAACGCTTCTAAGTCGCCACTAGCGTTCAGACTTTTATGTTCGCCTAAGCTTTCCGCTCCACCATTGCCACCAAATGCCGCATCATCC